TCTGTGCCATCCTGTTTGCTCTCGCTTATCTAAAGATCTGGTTCCTTAATGGCTCCTCTTCCTTAATGTCCCCTAAAGGTAAGCATCCCTAGGACTTACCAGCCTCTTTTCTGCCTCCCCACACTTCTCTCTCCATTTTGGGGATCACCTATACTATTGGTTCTGTAGCGCCCCATCTGGATTTCTTTCTTTCTACTTTGCTTTCCTGCTCTCTTCTTGCCAGCTAGGAACATAGAGAGCTGGGACAGACATGGCATCTTATGAGCCTGTTCTGTGTATCTAAAACACCAGTGATGTCATCAACCCTTTGCCACTGGGCTCCCCAACAACTTCCTCACTCACTTTGGGGTCCCATACCCAAAGTGCATATCAAATGTTCTCACCCGTTCACACTGTGGACTTAGTTCTTGATCTTCACAGAGAATGAACAGGGCTCAGAAACCATCTAGGCAGCAGGGACTGGCAGTCTCACTGGTTTAGAACCTTCCCTCCTACTCCATCGTGCCCCCAAGTTGAGAGCTACCCAGCCCTGCTGGCCCCAGATGCCTCACTTACAACATGACCTCGCAGCTGGGTGGCAGCCTTCTGGAAATGTGGCATGATCCTCTTGCACATGCTGCACCCTGTCAAAGGCAGGAGGAAAACCAAACCCAGTTACAGTGATAGCAGACACTGCATTCTCCCTAGGCCAGCTGCCACCCACAAACATCTATACATAAACCCCCCACCACATCCCCAAGAAGCCCAGGGCTGTTCTAGGCCCTGGGGACCAAAAAGGAATAGGAAACAAAGGCCAGGTCTCCAAAGAGCTCATAGGTTCAAAACAAGGTGGAGCCTATAATCCCTCCATGGATGTCAGATGGGATAAGCAAACATCCCACAAACAGAGAAGGGCAAAGCCCAGAATCTTCCATTGTGACTGATCAGCTCAACAGCAGTGCAGGAAGCCAGGGCAGATGGTCAGGGGAGCAGCCTCCTGCATCCTCGGCTACACCCTCCCTACCCAGTCAGGGATGGCAAATGAACGGTAGTCAAATGCCATTAGAAAGGAAAATTCATGTCCACAAGTACAATGACTTTTGGGATTTTCATGCCTCTTTTCTCTTCCATTAAGGAGCATAATTAAGCAATAACTACAGGCAGGCTGAGTGTGAAAGGTGCTGGCTCTTACAGGTGGGAAATGCTCTAGGCCAGGATTGAGACAAGGGCACTGATCTTCACTCTGTCTGGTGATGGCCTTGGCCAGATTACCTCTGAGCTGTTTCTCCCTCTCACAAACAGGGAAGGAGGCAATCTACTCCAGTCCTCCCACCTCTGTGGTCACTGAAGTTTGTAGCTCCGCCCTCTCACATTCTGTGATCCATGTGGTAAAAATCTTCTCTTGGGGTAGCGATGGCCCCCACCAGCCTTGGGGACTTGGGACCAGGTGAAGCAGCCCCCAAACATCCACTCCTACTTAATAGCAAACTTGATATAAACCCAAACCTTGATTTAAACCCAAGCAGAGCAGGCCATGTTTCTGTGTAATGACCCCACTGGACACAAGATCCAGTTCCCTCAGTCATCAGGAACTCTGATGTGCCAGACTATCACTCACAGCTGCTCTGCTACAAAATGGGCTTTGACAGGTTGCTTCTGCAGGCCACAGAAAGCTGGGCTGCCTTAAACTATGTATCAGGCTGGTTCTCCTCTCCAAGAGCAGGGCTGGGGCCCACAAAGTAACAGGCTGACAAGCTCTAATCTATGCTGAGTCAGCACCCCAGCAGGCTGTGCGCAAGTAATCCAGGAGACAGGGTCTTCTTGCCCTCTGTGGGCAGAAATAGGCATGGAGAACTCGGCACATGTATCTGTCTGTCTGCATGTTTGTCTGTATATCCTTCCTGGGGCCATCAAAACCTTTCTGGCACCAAGTCTACTAGGAAAAAACAAATGCAAGAAATTCTGACTCAGAACACCAAAGCCTTCTCTCAAACCTTCTTGACTAATGGACAGGTATACGGACACACATACCTGTCACAGCATATGATTCCTGAGCTTGATCTATGGTGCAGAATCTGTCCAGGGAAAACAAGTGGCTCTCTTGCTGACTGGCTGCCATGGCATGGATACCACTAGTGGCAACAAGGTGGGAAGACGACACTGTCCCCACTGTGGGGACTCCCAGAGGAGAAAGGAAACAGGACAGTGCTCCAGTAGAAATGCACAGGTTGATGCCCGTGGCAGGGAAAATGAGAGGCTACACAGCATCGAAGCTCTGCAATAGGGAATGAGCCCCCCATCTGTATTTGCCCCTGACCCTTATGGGCTGTGAGGTTCTAAGCAAGTGACTTAGGCTGTATGAATCTCAGTGTCCCTGTCTGTGATATGAAGATAGTGGCTGCCTCTGGTACTGTGCAGAGCTACCAGGAAGGTAGGCAGAGACTGGTCCTCAGCAGGGGACACTCAGTGTCCAGGAGGCATTTCAATTCAACACAGGGTCTGAGAGTCAGCTTGCCCAGTATATGTTGGGAAAGGCTCTTCCAAAGAAGGATGCTATACTACTCCCAGGAGGAAAACAAGATATGCATATGCCACCTCTTCCACATCACTGTCTCTTCACTCAGCCCTCAAGTGTGTCTGCCCAGCAGCTCAGTCAGCCATCAGGAGCTCAAATGACCACCTGTCTCCACAGATGTGGCCTTTCTTCTGGCTCTGCCCATCTGTAACCTGTAGCAGGTTCCCTCTGCTCTCCCCAAACAGGTGATAAGCTGTCTGTCCCAGAGATAGAGGCCATGAGTTCTAGGTAAAGAAAGTCCTGGGGGTAGGGGGAAGAGGTGATAGAGGAAGAACAGAAGCCACAGGCCAAGCCGGTTTCTAATTTAACCTACCAAAAATAGATCTAGTGCTGTGCTTCCTATCTGAGCTGCTCTTTCAGGGGATTCAACTGTGAGGTAGAGGAAGAGGTAAGACTAATTACCACTCTCAAAGCCCAAAAGCCAAAGCAGACAGCCTTTTTATTTTCTCATTAATTCAGCGAACAAACATTTACTGAGAAAGCAGCAGGGCCTGGGGACCCAGATGCCTTGTCACAACTAAAGGCTCCCACTGTCTCTGGGTTCATTCATCCACACGCCATCAGAAGATCTGAGTCCTAACAGATTGCCGGGTTAGGGAATTGCTGCATATCCCAGGAGTGAGGCCGTGGTGGCTGGGCTATTATAATAAAAGCCTGAGTTTATTTCACTAAAGAAAACCACACACATATAACAAAAAGGATCTGGGTCCCTGGTACCTTGGAGACCATCCAATCTGCTAAGCCATGGAAGCTGAACTTAGCAAGTCACTTTTTACCATCTTTTCCCACCACTAATATGCTGTGACACCTCCTAGGTACCCAACTCCTCCAGCCACAGCTTTCAATCACTAAAGATAATCTCTGTTGTGATAAGCAGCACAGGTTGACTGCGAGGAAGCCTGGGAGAGTGGGTGGGGCAGCAGCACAAACATCAGGGTGGAAGTGCTAGTGAATGTTCTTTTTAGAGGACTGACGCCATTACAAGGACCCTCGTGTAGCTGTGCCACGGTCCTTCCTCATGACATGCACTGCCTACTGATACACAACCGGTTTTACAGTTTCATTTCGTCAGTGTGCTGAGGTAAAGCAAAGGAGGCCCCCTCCTCCAGAGGCCAAAGAGGAAGGGTAATTCCTGAAGCAAAGAGAAAAACAACCAACTAATGAACATTAATCAAGTGGACGAGTCAGGGTGAAACTGCAGATCAGGCTAGGCCGGGCAGAGCAGGACATGGGGTACCAGGGCTCATCTCATCAGGCAGGCATACTTCTGGGCCAAAGAGTTCTGAGAGGAGGTTGCAGCTGGGCATACTGTAGTTGCAGTGAATAAGCTACAGGCTCAATCAGGCAGAGCAACCAGAACCCCAGAGGGGCATCTGACAGGGATGTTCACCATTACCACAGAGAACAGGGGAAGGGCCTCTCAGAAAGGGGGAAGTGAGGTAGATTTAAGAGTGGACAAAGCATGGTGCCATAGCCTGTGCCATCCATCTGCACCACTCATACTCCTGGGCACAGCTATCTCCTACAAGTGACAACCCCCTCTTTTTCTAGCCTTCAGATTGATAATAACACCTCTGGCTTCCTGAAGACCATGTGCAGTCCTAGAGTCACAGCTCAGAGCCTCCCCAGATTCTAATCACAGCATGAGTTGGGACCTAGAAGACCGAAGGTATGACAACAATGCCTGTGTGGAACAGTTTCTCTGGCACTACTTCTTAATCTGCTGTCTAGCGCCCATAGACAATGTGTCAATGTACAAACATGGCTGTGTCCCAATAAAAAACTTTATTATAAAAATAGTGGCCACCCATGTACCACAGTTTGCTGATCCTATTAGAGGCTTATGATGCAGTAGGCATAGAAAATGTTTTTTTTTTTGTCTTTTTTGAGACAGGGTCTCCTTGTAGCCCCAGCTGTCCTAGAACTCACTATGTAGACCAGGCTGGCCTCGAACTCACAAAGATCCTCCTGCCTCTGCCTCCCAAGTGCTGGGATTAAAGGCGTGCGCCATGCTCGGCGAAAATAGTTTTTCAATAAAACAGAGTGTAGTGCTCATCTGGTAAAATACATAGCAAGTTGTAAAGGTAATTATGGTTTTATGAAACAATATCAGTCTACTGACATATAATTTATATATGCTTATAGTACTGGTTGGCAATGTAAAACATTTTCAATTCTGTGAAATGTAGTTTTAAAATGTGAAAGTCACTGCTCTGACCCAAGCCGTTCTCTGACAGGCATGGAAACTGAGCCCCAGAGAGGAGGGGCACTTGCCCAAGGTCAGGGAGCTCTCTAGAAGCACAGCTGGAATTGGAACTGAGCCCTTCCAGCTGCCTCCTCAACAGTCCATTTTCCACAGCCTCTGGTCTCATACAGCTATAGAGCCCAAATCCCAGGGCTTCGCTTCCTCTGAACCTGGTCCCCTGGTCCTCCCAGATGGCACCAGCAGTGTTGAGGGTCCTGGTACCTCAGAGGGAAGACAGGTTCTAGATGGTGAAGAGTGGCAGCAGAAGCTGTAAAGCATGCACCGCTATACACTCTGCAGATCCACAGAATAGAGGCATGAGAGGGCAGGGTTGACTAGACAAGGATACCCTGTGGTGTCCAGGGTCAAGAGGGCAGAAGGCTGCCAATTCTAGTGGGGAGAGAGTGGAAGAGGACATCAGGAGGAGGAGACCTAGACAGAAAGGCCAAGAAGAAGGTAAAGAAGTGTGGACAGAGTGATGGAGAGACCAAGGCTGGTTCCCAGTTGGCACCTGGCAGCCCTAGATGCCCATCACCAGCAGAACCTGAACGGCTTCTAGCCCCAAAGCATTCACTTACAGGGAGCATAAAACATCATAAGGAGAGGCTTCTCTTCTTTCTTCAGGAGGCGTCTAAAGTCCTGAGGGACAAAGAGAAATAAGACCAGCAAGTTATACACACAACAAGACAGGATGTAAGCTGTTTGCTCCCCTTACCCCACAATCCAGTGACAGGAAGCCCAGGGGTGAATGCTTCAGAATTCACAGAAGACTTAGTCATAGCCCGCCAGGAGCTGGAAGAACAGTCAGGCTACCTTTGTCTATATCAACAGAGGAGGAAACTGAGGGCCTGAAGGGACAAACGGTTCTCCCACAGTCCCTGGGAGATGCAGTGGTCAGGACTAGCTACTAGCTTTTATTTTCAGCTCTACCTAAAAAATCTGAAGACATCAAGGAGCATTTTATCCATGAGACAACTGGAAAGTCACACTTCCATGTGATTTTGGGCATGACTGTCTCAGTAAAAGTGTCTATTTCATGTCTGTTCTGCTTGGCTACATGGAAATGAACACACACCTGCTAATTTCTTCCATGGCTTCAGCCCTACCACCATAGCATCTCCAGGTGCCCTGAAGGACATGAGGATAAAGCCTACCTCACCTCTAAGACATCACAAAAGGATCATCTGTAAAACACTTCAGCACCTGGCATATTAGTTGGTGATGTAAGATCATCTGTCAAACAAACATGCTACATATATGGCATATACCCAAAGAACTCATCCTATTGCAGAGACACTTGTACATCCATGTTTATTGCTGCTCTTTTCACAATAGCTAAGAGATGGAAGCAACCTAAGTGTCCCTGAACTGACGAGTGGATAATGAAAATATGGTTCATTTATAAATGGTTCATTTATAAAATGAAAATGTGGTTCATTTATAAAATTTACTCAGCAGTAAAGAAAGATGCAATCATGAAATCTGCAGGTAAATGGGTGGAACTAGAAACCGTTATGCTAAGTGAAGTAACACAGATTCAGGAAAAAAAAAAAAGTGATGTATGTTCTCCCTCATATGTGGCTCCTAGAACCAAATCCTGGTAAGTGAGTGTGTATCCAGACATAACTACAGGAACCAGGATAATGAAAAGGGACCAGGAAGGTAAAGGAAAAGAAAGAATCTGAAAGAGACAAACAGTAGGAAATAGGCATTAATAAGGGAGAGATGGATAAAAATGGGGTTATTTTAAGGGGAGGGGGTTATACGAGGAACCTTGGGGATAAAGGGAAAGAAGGAGCTCAAGAGAGGTGGGACAACAGGAGAAGGGTATTATTAAGGGAGAAATGGGAAAGATGGGGGCACTTTAAATGGGGAAACAACAGTGGAAGGGTTAGACAATGCGAGAGACAAATAATGCCTAGCTAGTTTTTAAAAACCAGAGGGAACCATATTAATCGAACCTACTGACAAATTATACATACAACTAGCTCAAGGAATATAATCCATGTCTAGGCAAGGTTTATCTGAGAATGTTTGGTCTTTGCCCAAGTTTTATCTACATAGCACATGGTAATTAAAAGTACCAGACTGGTGGAGCTAACCTTCTTGGATGTTTAACAGCCATACTTTGAGGCCTATACTAATCTGGTCAGAGGGACAAAAAGGACAGTTTTTACTAGGTCGACTAAGCTCCAGGGGACCATGAGCATCTCCCAAAATGGCCTATAACTGTGGGGCACTACCTGTCCTCTTGATCAAGGAGGCCATGGAGACCCCATCAGATGGACTAGAACTAGTGTCCAGTCTACAAAGAAGAGGGTCAACACAGAGAAAACACTTCCTCCAGGCTTCAAGTGAAGCAAGCCAGTAAGCAGCGTTCCTCCATGGCCTGTGCTCCAGCTCTTGCCTCCAGGTTCCTGCCCTGAGTTCCTACCCTGGGCTCCCTGATGAACTGTGACCCAGGAGATGAAAGCTAAATAAACCCTTCCCCCTGCCCTCAAAAAAAAAAAAAAAAAATAAAATAAACATGCTAAGTATAAAAAGACAAAGGGTTGCAATAATGTTCATAATGACTTAAGTATAAGCAGGGTACAGACTGCTTTCCAACAAGAGCCAATAAAGGATGAAGAAATTGCACCCACTGAGGCCTGCTGGGAAGCATGGCTACAGAGTGTGCTTTAATTACAATGAGTTTCTCTAACCAGCCATCTCAGAAGAAAATTAGAGGCTTTCTTTTTTGGATAATAAGGAAAATAAGAGAAAATTTGGAAATGAAGCATTCTGACAGCAACAAGGTGTTAGGTAAATAAAGGATGGCAGATCCCACACAATGGAATACTACTGCAACACGAAAACAGTGGAGAGGAATACTTAACGTCACAATAAAATGTACATGCTACATTGGGAGGGGGTTACAGGACAGCATATAAAATGTAATGCTGTTTTTGTGAGTGAAAATATTTATATATGCATTATGTTAAAAGCCTGGAAGGCTATAAAATACCAGCAGTGGGTCATCTCTCAGTACAGACACAGGGTGATTTGCGCTTTTCTTTTATATATAAGCTATATTTTCTAAATATTCAACAGTGAATAGGTATTGCTTAAAATTTCTCAGATAAAAACAATTTTAGTTTTTATGGGAATCTAAAACATTTTGTAACAAAATTCTGAAAAGTTTATTCTTATTTACATATATACAGGGTTTGGGCATTCACTTTAAAACCGAATTATAACCAAATGTTAAGCAAATAAAAACCAAAGAGGAGTACCTAAAGAAATCATGGTATTTAGGCTGGAGATGTAGCTCAGTGGAAGAGAGTTTTCCTAGCATACACAAGGTCCTGGGCATGATCCTTAACACTGGGGGTGGGGGCGGGGATCGTGGTATTTGTTTAGGAGTAAGCAAATGCTGAGTCTGCAAACCAGGGAACCATGGGCATAATCAGAGGGAAGCTTTCCAAGGTAAAGTGAAGATTATGTAAATGGAGTATTCAGGATCAGTAACAAGGTGCAGTCAGTCACAGTTTGGACAAACATCTTTGCAAAAGCATCCCTGTATGAGGCTGTAGTGGCCATGGTGAAGGTGTGGCTCTGGCAGGCTTTGTTACTAGTTCTTTTTATCAGGCATGTGCATGAGACACCTTCCACCCCCCAGTCTCACAGCTTTATTGTATTAAAAAAAAAAAATTTGGAGGGCGTTGGCTAGGGCTTAAAACATGGCTCCATTTTGATTCTGACAACTTTTACACTGATATTTGGTACTAAGTGGGGCTAAAGGATGCAAACACTTTTAAATTTTATTTTCTGGGGCTCTCTGAAGATTAAAAAACCCAGTAAAAGATCTGAGAGAAAACCGTTTTCTTACACCTATCTTATAGAAATTTGGGCTCATATTGTTAGTATCAAGAGTTGCATGTAAAGATACTTAACAGTATGGAATTCTGAGCCTGTTAAATAAATCATTAATTCAACTTGCACATAAAACCTTTAGCTATTCTATGTGCAGATGCTAGCAGCAGAAAAGCAGCTATATTTTGTTTTTGCATGAGAGAAAATAGCACAAAGAATAAAAAGGACTACGGATAGAGGTAAAAAAAAAACCATTTCTGCTTAATATTCTTACAATTACAGAAGAACAATAGCAGTAAGTTCAGGATGTGACACTGGGGTAAGGTACTAGGCAGTTGCTTTCTAAAGAAGCTAAAATTTACTATCATAGGAGGAACCATCAGTTGTTTTTTTCCACAGTACCCATGCCAACTTCTCCTGACATCTGTGCCTCTCCCTCCCTGCTCCCAACACCATTTTCTTTTCTAAAAATCTTTACCTTTTAGGTAACAATACTGGCACTTTCTACACCAGAGAATGTAACCACCCAGTCTTTTAATTGACTCTTGGGCTGCCCACAATGATCCCAACTCCAGAAGGGAAAAGAGCCATCATTTCCATTTGGGTTAATAAGCACTAAGAGTAGTCAATAATTTTAAATGAAAGGGAAGAGGAGGTAGAGGGAGATAAAAGCTATGCTTCATTTAATCAAGATAAGTATAATCGTACCAAAAAAAAAAAAAAAAAAAAAAAAAAAAAAAAAAAAAACACTGCTTGCCTCAGACCATGTGAAACCTGAGAAACAACACTTGCCCGCCCTCCTCTATGAAGGCACAGTTACAAAACAGGGCATGATGCCAATGAGGTCTGAGGATATACAGAACCACATTCAGGTCAGATGGGGCAGGCTGTGGAAGGAGGGCCAGGCTGATCAGTTTTACTTAAGTAATTGAAGAACTAATGAAGGGGATGGAGACATGCCTCAGTGGTTAAGAGCGCTTGCTGCTCTTCCAGAGGATCCCAGTTCAGTTCCCAGCACTCAATCAGATAGCTCACGACTACCTGTAACTCCAGTTCCAAGGCATGAAACACCCTTTTCTGGCCTCTGCATATACTTGTACATATGTGCTCCTATACACACAGACTCACACATGCACATAAATAAAAGAAATAATTGTTTTTTTAAAGAACTAATAAAGACCATAAACCAGACTTTGCCCTTCCACTCTCATCCCTGTTCAATTCTGAAAACAAAGCTTGGGAGGGCAAAGGATTTGTTCAAACTTATATAATGACTCAAAAACACACAAAGTCAATCCCACACAGTAACAGGAGGACTGTTCATATCTACTCTGACAAGAAAAATCTAAACATGTTAAAACATATTAAATAAGGCTATGGAGAAGTCTGTCATCTGTCGGTTACATCATAGAGTTGGAGGGACCGTCAAATATTAAGGTCTTGGCTTTGTTCTCTGAGCTGCAGGAAAGTGCACATGGTCCTGTGCTCCTCTCCTCAGGAGACTCAGGTACCAGGGAAGGCTCTAGCATCCATCAGAATGGATGGGAAATAGATTACCTTTTCACTGTCAATATGGACAACATCTTTGGCTCCAGGATCTTCTTCCCACAGTGGGGGGCCTTTAGGGTCCTTCAGAAAGGCCACTATGGACTGGGGGGGGGAGAGGAGAAAAAATTATTTTAGCCAGGAAAAGCAGGGGTTGGAGGACCAGGATCCTGCTCGGTTTTCCTGTCTGAACACCTAGGTACACCAAGTGCGAGTCATGGTATCACACGTGATAACTGCTTGGAGGGGATCTATTTCCTGTCCACAGACATCACCATTAAGTACCCCCTAAAATGTGCCTCCACCACTCCCTGTCGGGTTTTCAATTACATGGCCCCACTGGTTAGCTGACACAGACATGCATATCTACTCTGAACTTTCAGGGACAGAGGAGGCCACTTGAGGCAATGAGCTGGCTTCTTCAACCAGACACTCTGTTGGGTCAACTAAATCTTCCTCCAGGAAGCCTTTCTGGCCAGCTGAATAAAGGCCTCTGCAAAGTGCCTACTTCCACATCCTTACAGCTACTCTATTGTCATTCATACCACTTATTAGCTACTGGAGATTTCATGTTCTACACTGGTTACCAAGTGGCCTAGATCCAGCTACGCTCTGCTGTGTGTGGGTCAGTGGGGCCCAGGCTGAGAAGCACCAGGGCAGGGTACTTCTGCTGAGGAACTTCTTTCCCTGAATCCTTCTATATCAGGGCAATAAAGATAGAGGGCTTGGCTGGACTTAGTTGGGTGAACCACTGGCTCCAATCTCTACCCCTTTGGGAGAAAACACCCAGAGGGCAGGAGAGAGGGATATTCTCCATCCTACCCCACCTGTGGCACTTTACTGGTACACACAGACATGACATTCTGGCATTCTCTTTCCCCTCTGTCTCTTAGAAATGATGCTCAAAGTTTGTGAAAGCCAGGAAAGGGTGCCAGAAGCCAGCCCACTACCATCCTACCCACCCTGAGGGGGGAGTGTTGGCCCATGTGAACATACAGAGCTCTCCATGATCCCAGATGCTGAACTCTCTCAAAATCTCTCTCTCTCTCTCTCTCTCTCTCTCTCTCTCTCTCTCTCTCTCTCTCTCTCTCTCTCTCTCCTCTCTTCTTGTGTGGGGGGGGTGTGGGTATTAAATTTTTTGTGTGAAGAAATAAACTCTGGCCCATTCTCCCAGTCTTCCTAGGTGCTCAAACACACACACTTAAAGTCTACAATGCCCACTTTCCTTGTGGGCAAGTGTAGCCACATTGGTGTCACCCAGGGAATGTGAGCACTCTCTCTCTCTCTCTCTCTCTCTCTCTCTCTCTCTCTCTCTCCCTTATCTCTGTGTGTGGTGGTGGTGAGGAAGAGAAGAAGAAAGGTTGAAGGGGAGAGGAGCAAACACCCTTTCTTTAATGGGGCTATGCACTTGGCCTATGTGCTGATTACAGAGGATCTTTTGAGGTTTATCATCTCTGGAACTTCCCATGTGGAAGGAACTACTATGGGAGACAGGCAGGCCTTTAGAAGGTCTCCTTCCTGCAGTGCTTCCTATCTGTCCAGATGGAACTGTGAAGTCCTCTTGGCAAAGGAAGAACAGCCAATTTGCCACTGCAACAGTCAGAGCTATCCTTTTTTGGCCCCTTGCTAACACTTCACCAGGACAACAAGCCCAAATGGAATGGACAGAGCCTTCCCAAAGCCCATACTCACCACTGTAGAGAGATCTGCTCACATGGTATAGGAAAGAGATGCTAGTGGTTGCCCACCTGCCTGCTGTTCCAAAAATACCAGATATGAGGATTCTCAACCTAGGGTCCATGGACTCCAGGAGTTTGGAAAGCGCAGACCACCTTGCTGTGTGAACACAGGCTATTTTGGGGGAAAATCCCTATTCAGCAGACTGTCAGTGGGATCAGGAACCCATGACAGGTTAGGAGCTGCTGCTTTGGGGAGAATGGGAGTCCTGCCCCAACAATCAGCATGAACTGAGCTTCAGAGTTTACACGGCCTTCTCACTCCTAACCTTACCCAGCACTAAAGAGCAAAGACAGTATGGATGGGAAAAGGAAACAATTAGAATGGTCTGGAAACCTGCTGTTCAAGTGGGAATTATTTTCATTTAACTGGTGCTCAGTAATACCACCCACGGGTTCTTTCCAGACTAATGAGAGCCTGGGGAGAAACATCTATGGGGAGAAGCACCTGGGAGCCCACCCTCAGTCACCTTATCTGGGTATTCAGAATCCCAGAGAAATGCCCCCAACAGCTGCATTTGGTCTTCATGGCATCTGCACAGCTATGGAATGGTTTAGAGCTACAAGCTTGGGAGAAATAGGGGGTCCCCTGAATCTAGGTCCCCAGATCCTCATCACTTAGATAACAAGAACTTTGGAGGATGCCAGTCAGAAAGCAGAAGGCTGCTGACCTGTGAAGTTCTCTCTAGGTTCCTGCTAAACACAAACAGAGATGCAATAAGCCTCATTACTGGGTCTCTGACTTTAAAGGTCATAGTACGGTTCCTGCGGCAGGCCCCTGTCCAACCATGCAGGCCAGCAGCAGTAAAACCAGAGCATGGTCCTGCAGGCTATATCCCTACCCTGCCAGGGATGCTCCACCTTTGTGCATACAGGGTCCCAGGAATGCCCTGAAAGAAAGCAAAGCAGCCACAGAGGCAGCTTGGGTCTCAGCTGCTTGGGTGGAAAAGGCAGATGCACCACCAGGCAGTCAAGAAAAATCCGATGCCACCTTTCCTTAGCCCTAGAGAAGTCCAGGGACTCTACCCTGGTCTGTCTTGGCCTTATGAGTCTAAAGATCTTAGGACTATGGCTGCCTGCTCTGAAACCAAAGCCTTTGACCCTGTACAATGCTCAGCCTACTTCTCCAGCTTGTTGGTACAGAAAGTAATATGCTAGCCCCATACACAGGACACAAAGACCATTTTGCCCTCTCTACCAGATACTAAGTGGCAAGCTGGTCCCCCAGGCTTCTGGCTACTTCCCTGATATAGAGTTCTGGGCAGCTGCCCCTCCTGCTCCATGATTCCAGGACAGATTCCTCTGCAGTTCAAACACAAAGCGACCTTTCTTTTTATCAATGCCTGAGCAATTCATCTATCCCATTTCCCAATTAAATCTTCCTTCTTGGGAGCATGTGTTCTCTCTCCAAGGACATTAGCTGTTATCACACCACAGAATACAGACAGTCAAGCAACTCTGGTTAGAAGAATTTCCAAATGTCTAAGTGGATGTTGAGACGGTAAGGAATCAGGCAGAGACCCCAGTACAGGGTTAAGCTGTAACAACTTAAATAAAGAGGCAGTTCAGGTAGATAAGAAATGACCCAAGAGAAGGGCAGACAGAGAGTGGGGCACCAACAAATGTACAGACAGGTGGACAGACAGGAACAAATGGAAGGAGGAAAAGCAGAGGGAAAAAGAGGCAAGGCTGAAGATACAGTTCAGTGGCAGAGTGCCTTCCTGGAAAGCACGAAGCCCTGGGTTCATTCCCCAGCATGGCAAAGGCAAACAAACAAGAGAAGACAGGCAAAGGCACAGGAGCTCAAGGACCAACCCTAAGCTCAGAACAAGAGTCAAAGAATCTGAGTTTAGCCCAGATGAAATACATGGCCCCAGCCAAGGCCAGTGATGATGCCTAGACCAGAGGTAGAAACTGGTTTGAGGCAGACGTTGATGCTAAGTGCAATAAAAGGTTGGCAGGCTGGGCAGCTCCTCTGTGATAGCCAGGCAGTACCTGTAGGCTTCAGGGCCTTACTTTATTCATCTACTTATAGATTGGACTGTGACAGGACACCCCAGTGGCATCTACATTTCTCCATCTGGAACAAGCCACAACAGCTGTAAGGTGTCAACCTGCCCAAGTCCTATGCCTCATGCTGGCCTGGGCACAGTGTGTCCCCCCCGGCCTATGGGTGGCCACTGTGAACAGCATCACAGAGATGGGGGATGGTTTTGAAGCTACAGCAAAGGAGACCCAGATCTGCAGAGGGGAGGGGCATAATGTGACCTGCCTTGCTGGACAACACTAGGATGTTCACCAACTTAATCTACAAGGCTAGGCTGTCCTTTGTGTCAATAACTATAAACTTTGCCAGATATTCTGCTGATACTGATTCTAGTGATAAGGGCCCTCAGGTAGTTGGGAAGGAAGAGCCCATGTTCAACCTGCCCTTCCTCCTCTTGGGGAAGTCTGCTAAGCTTCGGGCGCCCCTTTCAGACTCCACCCTGCTGAGAACGAGGGAGGCAAAGTTACCTTAAACGTCATAGCTCGGTTATATTCCATGTGAAATGCACCATCCCTGTCAAATGAGGAGGAAAAGGTGTTACCCTTAAGAATGGTTGTGAGGATATCTACCTTTGGTTCCCTGAAGGTTCTTAAGATAGCGTCAGTTATGAAACACAGTTTAGATTTTTTTTAAAAAAAAAAAATAAGTAATTGAAAATACAGGGAAAAAAAACATTCTGAAGTAAAATAAATCTTACTAAAAATTGCTGTTCACTGAAAATAACCAATAAAAGCTTTCAGCACTTACTTGGAAATTGGAAATGTCCACGTGTACTTACTGGTAATGGAATAATTCAACCTTTTTGTCCTTTGGGCTGAGGTCAACTTTCATCTTCTTGCACAATTTTCTACTCTCTGCGTCACTGAAAAACAGAAATGTCGGGACCCATTTGTTACCTGGAATTCTCATATAGGTGTTGACAGCAAAATTGCTGGAGGCCTAAGCAACAAGCCAAGTGACCTGGAATTCTCAGGAGCAGATGAAGACTGTACCACAGTCTCTCAGAGCAGAGAACTGGGAAAATAACCAGCAAGATATATAGATTGGGCTTGTCAGGAGAGGGGACAAGCAGACAGCAGAGGATGTGCCACTGCTGGTAAGGGGCCTCAGGGATAGTTCTAGACAGAGGAAGTAGTGAGAAGCTGAGGGCCAGCAGAACTCATTACAGTAAGAAATATAAACCCAAAGCCAGCCATGGTAGTCCCGGTTATTCAGGAGCTGGGGCAAGAGAATTCCTGAGCCCACAAATTCAGGGCTAGTCTGGAGAGAAGGAAAGAGAGAGGGAGAGGAGAGGGGAGAGAGAAAGAATGAGAGCAAGAGAGCGAGAGAAAGAGAGAGAATATGAATGCCAATCCCCCCAGTCTAGGCTGTCACTTGAGGAAGTGACATATAATCTGGCCCTCTCAAACCATTGCTGCAGAATCTGTGGAGGCAAGGCCTAAGCAAGATTTTGTTTTTAAGGCTCTGAACATGCACCATCTGACTAGGAAAAGAAAACGTCCTACTATGTTGAAGAAGTGTTGAAATTTGTTAAAAGCCAGGAGGGGGCTGGGTGTGGTAGTGCAGGCCTTTGAGATATGAGCCTTTAATCCCAGCACTTGGGAGGCAGAAGCAGGCCGATCTTTGTGAGCTCGAGGCCAGCCTGGTCTACATAGTGAGTTCCAGGCCAGCTGGTGCTACAGGGAGACCCTGTCTCAAAAAAAAAAAAAAAAAAAAAAACCAAAAAAAAAAACAAGTACAATTTTCAAGTCAAGAAAACATGTCTTGATGAAAAGATATGGGGGGGGCAGTCACCTTGCCTTGCCTCGTAAGGCCTCTGGCTTCCCTCTCCCTGTAGTCCCAGCTGTAACCCCCTACCTCTTCCAGCCATAGGACTGAACAAGAAATAAGTGAGGCATGCACAAAGGAAGGGCAACAAAATTACAAGGACAAAGATGGTGAAGGATTTGAAGATAAGGAGTAGGGAGAGAAGAGAGCGAAGCTGGAGACAAAGAGATGAGCTGGAGATGACAGAACAGATCAGCAGCAACCCACAGTGTTCAGCTTAAACCCTCTTGCCTTAAAGACTTGTTATACCACTCTTGCCTCTTCCAGCAACAGCTATTTTGGTTTGGGTTTATCCTGGCCTTCAGGGCATCTATGTTGAAGTCACACCAACAGGAGTAGGCTTGTGTGCCAACAGCAGCAAACGAGGTACCCTTCCCTGGCCTGAATCCCTGGGAGAGAGGGCCACAATCAGGATGTTTTCTATCTTCCCTGACATTTTCCTTCTCGGGTTTTGTTTTGTCCTGTTCAACTGTTTCTCTGGTCACACCCCCCACCCACCCCCAGTACAGCAACAGTGGCTTGTGCAGGAACCAAACTTCAGCTGCCACATGACAGACCTCCCCAAGCTCCAGCCCCAGCAGGGCCTGAAACCTTTGCAAAGTAAAGGAAGGAAAGACAGGCTTCTGGTCTAGCTCCAAGCCCTGCTTATTCTACCAGGACCTAGACCACAGAAACATCTCTGAGCTGTAACATCAGGTTTTCCAGGTTCCTGGGGGCCTAAGACATGCTTGGGAATCAAAGCTCTAAACGAAGTTATGTGGGTGGTGCAACTCAGGGCAGAGAAGCACCTAGTCTATTTCCTGGCGTGGCCTTGAGGCTCAGCCCAGCTTGCAGAGAAATGATTACCCATTTCTATCCTGGGACTCTTAACTGTAGCCCATATAACCCTCTCCCTCAGATTATATGACATTGTCCAAAGGTTTTGTCTTCTCCCCTGGCTTTCTGTGTGAGGAGTGGGGCAGGGTGGCTTCCTGTCACAGCACTCCCAACCTCCCTTCCCCCATGATCTCTCTCCACAGCACTAGCAACATCTGACCACTTGTCCCTGTGTTTCCCACTTCAGAAATGTTTGCTCCCTGGAGGCAGAGGCCTGCTTCCATTCACAGCTGTTCCATGGTGGTTGGCACGCAGGAGGCACTCACACAGTAACATGACTGGATGGGCAAATGAATGAAATGATAGATGAATGAAAGATGCTCTCTTGGAGCTGCTGGGATGAGGCCCTGTGCTTCTGGCTTCCTGGGTCCAGGAATCCTGCTGGGTGAAAATTCCTGATGGGGCTCCCTCAGCTTTGCTCCCCCCACAATCCTGTCTCTTAGAGTGTCTTAAGTGTGCACGTGAGCATTCGCTAATTGTGGAGTGCAGACAATAAAAGTCATAAGAGTTCAAGAAGGGGAGAAAATTACCCACACTCAGGACTTAAAAGGATCTGGTTTGATAGATTAAGAACAATTAATTGATCTACTGCCTCCCTCTATCCTGTAGCTCGTGACTGGGGCTCTCGAGAAAAAAGAGACAAAGGCAGTGAGCAGAGAAACTGTTGCTTTGCCCGAAGTCCCAGAGAGTCAGGCTCTCTCCTGACCAGCAGGAACCAGCCACCAGTCTGCAGGGAGGGGTCAAGGCCACTGATCAGCCATACACCATCTCTCTCTACTTCATTTAGCTCTCCACCTTCTCACAGAGAATGAGGGAAGGACCACTGAGGCCTGTGCACACCCTCTTCTACATCCTATTTTCCACATCCTGACAGACATGTATATATATGGGGTTTCATGTGATGTTGCTGTGGAACGGCCACTAGTTTGCAGTGGTTGCTGCAGGTGTGAGATACTGTGTTGATTAGATTTACGTGTGTAGTAATAATCACCCAGGAGACTGGTGGCTTAAACTCTGGGGAGTCAGACCCAGGGATGACAGGTAGAGCGAGAGCAAGAAGAAAGAAAACAAGATGCCAGAGGCTAAGGAGAGGAGACATCGAATCTTTCCAAAGTTGGGGCCTAGCTATAAGAACCTGCCCTAGAGAGTGGTTCAACAGCCAGCTAGCATTAACAGCTTTCAGATCTGGCTCTGCCACCAGTCAGCTGTGACCTTTGCTGAAGCCATTGGTTTCCTGAGCTGTAAAACACAGGAGTTGTCCACATAGGCTGACTGTAGTTGACCCTCTACAGGGTCAAGTAACACTAAAGAATCAGGCAAGCTGCTTTATATCCTGACAGATGAACTCAGGGCCAGAAGCCAGGATGCAAAAAAAGCAGAACCCATGTTATCTCTTTCCTACACCCAGCTGGATCCTCAATCAGCTTTCCACAGCCAGGTTCTTAGGTCCATGGCAAACCACATTCAGTCTCTCCCTGCCCTGCTCCTTGAGGAAGAAAGCTACACTGAAAAGCAGAGCACAAGGTCTCTACTTGACTTGGCCAAGAATCTATGCCTTTGTCCCAGATGTTTCTCTATCACTCAAAGAAAAGTAAATCTCTTCCTACCATCTGCTGGGCCTGCATGGTGGGATTCTAAGCAGATGGACCTGCAGTTCCTTGGGGATGGGAAGGAGATGACAGGTAGGAAAAGCCTTTGTGCCACAGACATGAAGAAAATGGGGGATAAGAAATTAGAGTGACTGCTTGGTGCCAAGCAAGGATAAGTTATGGTTGGCAGGCATAATGCAGGGGCAGTTGGAGAAGTCTTAGAAGAGTTGAGCCTTAAACTTGGACAGACCTTGGTGCCATGCAGCACTCTCTGATGAAGGGCTTCAACAAGAAGGATGATCCCAGATTTGCTGTTCTCCTTGATACCTAGCTTTAGAAGGTAGGTAATGAAGCACGAGTTACATACTGCAGTTAGTAAGAGCCTGAATGAGGGCAAAGTGTGGCTTCTTCTCCTAGATCATATAGGGGACCCTCACCACCCACCTATCCAGGTCAATAATTCTAAGGCTCTGTCCTCAGTGGGGACATGTCACCCCAAGTGCAAACCATATGCCAGAAGATATCTGAGGCTATAAGATAAACATCACACTTCTGTGAGTCTGTTTTCTCCCATAGTAAGTAACATTTGCCCTTACTCACATAAATGGGGCAAATGCAAAATTAAAATAAATTTTAGAAGATTTCAAAATATATTACACCTGCCCTGGCAGGCCTCTAATCTTGCATCTGGGGAGCCATCACTGCTCCAGGGAAATCAAGCAGATGGGAAAAGGGGAGCAGGGAAGAAAGAAAATGTGGTTAGACAGTGAATTTCCATCCCAGGGAAAGCACGCTGCCAGTACCTGAGGGGAGAGTCTTGCCCCTAGTGAGCAGCCTCAGGAATTAGTAAGCCTGGCCTGGTATCTGCAGCTGGCTCCAGCTCAACTTCCCAGGTGGCAGCACAACACAAGGCCCCACCCTAGCACCAGGCTACAAAGCACAGCAAACTACCAACTTCCTCACATATAACCCACTGCTCAGCCACCACCATCCTACCAAGTGGAGGTGGGGGCTGTGAAGGTAGAGAGAAAAAGAATCAACAAATCCCTAGAAAGAATCCACATGCCCACACAGTGGCCAGGGACCAGCAACCAGGGACAAGGCACAGTCATATCTGTGGGTGTACATGTAGAAAAGGCAAAGTAAAGAGCCAGAAAACCAAAAGCGAGTTAAAGAAACATCCCTAGGAGAAAAATGAAGAAAAGAGGTCAAGAGAATGGGCGTGGCAGAGACCTACTTCCTCTCTGAGAAGAAATGGCAAGGGAAGAAAAAGAAACAGGCAGGAAGACAGCACCTCAGGATCCCTGGGAGGAGAGGAGACCCACATGGGAGGAGACTCCACAAGGCAGACCCCACCACTAGGCACATGTCCACCGCATACCTGAGTACACCAAGCTGGCAATTTCTGGTATTTTCTGAACCAGGTAATTTAGGGTTGAAAACAATTTGGAATGCTCTGCTAGACATTTCACAGATTACACTGTAGCCCAGAAAGAGGTGGTGATTTGCCAAAGGTCCCCCAGACTCTGCTCTCAGTACAGACTCAAAGCCAGGCTCCCTGCCCCATGGTCTTACAAATGCCACTATGCTCCATGGCTGGCCTCAAATTCACAATCCTCCTGACTCAGCTTCCTGAGTGCTTGGATTACAGGTGTGTGCTACCATGCCCAGCTCACCTCATAACTTCCTAAAGGGTAGAGCAAAACAAGCTGTGGACAGGGGCTGATCCCCGCACCTAATACCATTTTTAGCAGGACCTTCCCCAGAACCAAGGAGTTCTCACCCAGCAAAAAGTTGCTGAATGAACAATATATCATTTTTCCCTGTCCAGCTCTTTCTGAACAATTCTGTCTAGATGAAAAATGACAGTAACAGAATAGAGCCTCACATTTAACTGTGGTTTCTATTCTAGAACTTTCTTTGTCCAGGTTTCTAGAAAGAAATCTAGCCTTTTCCCATTTAGTCGATGAGGGAACAGACTTAGGTTAAATGACTTGCTTAAAGTCACAGAGGTAGGAAGGGGAGGGGCTGGTCCTTCAACCAGGCCTTTTGCTAAGTGCCAGACTGTGCCCATCACACCACACACCTACAAAAGGTGCCCCAATACCACAGCAGCATTTTCTCTTACCCAAGATTCACAGTTCCCTTTATCTGCCCTTTAAAGGGGAAAAGTGGAGTGGTCTTTGCCAATCTGCCTGGTTACCTCAACTGAGCCCCAGAATCCCCACTCTGGCTGTCATGGCTTGATGCTTGGGCAGGAAGCCTAGTCGGAGAGGCTGAGATGAGAACCTCAGCAGGGCCCACTGAGGGGCAGCTGGCTGACCATCTGCTGCTTTATAGAAGACAGCAGTGCTGGCTCTGGGACGCCTCCTCTCTCCTCAGCAGACAGCCACAGAAAGCCATCCTGCAACACTTCTGCCAGTAATGGGAAGGTCTCATTCCCACACTCACAGACATCTAACATCACAGTCTCATGGAGTTCACACACACAGTGAGTGCACAGGGCACATTCCAAAGATGAGGAACAGGAATGAGTAGACAGAAGGGCAAAAGGCAGCTCCCACCCTTGGGATCCTTGTCTAACAGTAGTCCCTGAGACCTACCATTCAGGGTGGCTTACAGGGATCCAAGTCCAAGTACTGTCCATTGGACTGATATGGGAAGAATCAGCTGTACTTTGCCTTTCTTCAAACTCAGACCCAGATATCCTGCTTTCAACATAATCCATTTACTTAACTAAACTACTTTAAAGCTATATAACATTTGGCTTGAACTTCCTCTTATAGGGATAAATCTGATACTGAGAGGCAACTACATGGACTAGTCCTGGCTGCCTCTTCTAAACCCTAATGTGCTTCCACCTAGAGTTTAATTCTAGCATATCAAATTCACAGGATTCCTCCACTGGCATTTATATTGACTCCAGACACTGAGACTACAATTTAGTCCTAAGCTCTAATCTCATCTGTCTTTGTGCACTGACCCCTAGCCCCAGGAGCTCAGGCACCTGGAGGTTCCATAGCCTGTCTGAAAGCAGGACACTTGCCCCCATAGGCAGCACTCGGGAGCCACAATACAGGAAGCTCTGGCAGGGAAAGCTAGGGCACTAGAGGTACATGATGGCAAGGTTTTTGCCCCCTACTCCCATTTGAACTTCACTTCCTCTGCAAAGCTTTTCTTGACCTTTCCAGGCAGCGGTCACTTACTTCTCCTCAGATACAGAACCTGTTCATAGCACTCCCCACCTGACAGCACAAGCCCTGGCTTGTATGCCTGCTTCCCCCTCACACGTCAGCTCCTAGAGGCCACTGTTATTCATTTGTGCATCATCGAAGCACATAGTAGGTGCTAGGATGGACTTGGAGGAAACAGGCACTACATCAATGTTCCTCTGCCCATTTTTGTCACCTATAAACTTCTTAAGAACGCCCTACAATCAGGCTCTGTTAGCTTGACACAACTGTTGTCATCTTCAGATATGGAAATTCCAAAGTGGTTTGTCTCCTGTAATAAATAGGTTTTGTCACTTTGCCAATTACATAGAACACTGCTGATAAAACTAGGGAGACAGACCACTGGAAGATCAGAGTGCTCTTAATTCAGCCATGAGCTACAGTTAACCAATAGCTAAGATCTCACCAGCCACCAGTGCAGTCTGCTCTGCTCAGCCAGTATTGGCATGAATGTGGAGGCATGAGGCCAGATGCATACATTAGAACACACATGTGTGCACACTACCAACATGTGAATCGCCTGTGCTTTTCTCACATCTGCAGCAGAACAAGCCTGAGGTCAGCAACTTAGAAATCAGTACGTACCAACACTTCACTTGTATCATGTCATTCAGATGGAATAAGAAAGAGTTACTCTGGAGTAGGCCCACAAAAACCCATTTAATCTGCAGCATAGTAGAATGGCTTTTAACATTAAGGGCTCCAAAGATCTGCATAGGCCTGACCCAGTCTTGGGGCCAAGGCAACTAGTCTGGTGGCCAGGTGACTGTACTACCTTTGTGCTGCAGGAGTGAGAATAGCCTGGGTTGAAGGCAAAGCTCATGGCTCATGGCTATTGCTGCAAACCTACCATAAGTCAACTTGGTGACCCTGAAAATCACCTTGTGTCTCTGGAATCAAGGCCCTCCTCTTTTTCGTTCTTGAAAAAAATTATTTATTGATTTCTATTTTATGTGTATGACTATTTTGCCTGCATGTTAGTAAACCCATGTTGTGTAATGCCTGTGGAGGCCAGAAGAGGATGTTAGATTCCCCTGGAACTGTAGTTCCAGACAGTTGTTAGAAGCCATGAGGGTGCTGGGAACCAAACCCAGGTCCTCTGTAAGAGCAGCCAGTGTTCTTATCAGCTCTTAACAGCTGTGCCGACACTCCAGTGCCTAAGATCTTGCTCTTTAAACAGGGAAGACTCTCTCTGCCTCACCTCCATCTGAGAAGATAAAAGAAAGCCATATATGAGGACATAAAAGAAAACTAAGAAAATGAGAAAAAAGGAGGGGGCAGAGGCCAGATCTTCCCTCTCCATGTCAGAAGTAACCTCTGAATCACACACCCTCTCTTCTCTTCCAACCGCAAAAGCTCCCAAGCACTGCCCTGACCACTGTGCCCTGGGTCCCTAGCACATACCCACAGTCTACCCAGCAGATGGTGCCTTGTCCTTTCACTGTCTGGGCCACAGTGGACAACAACTTGAGGTGATTTTCAGCTGCCATCTCTGAAAAAGAATAAAAAGATTTAAACCTGTGTGTCCAAGAGCCCTGGCCATGGGCAGGGTAGAGTGAACACAAGTGAAGTCTCTCTTTGGTCTGGGTGTCAAATTGCTGGGGGTCTGGGTAGAGCCTCTGGGTACTACTGTTGGACAGCAGGGTCTTGGGGGATAATCCTCCGTGGCCAAGATTTCAACTCTGCCAGTCTTTAATGGTCCGCCACAGGGTAGTTGTGGCCAGTGTTTGATACCTGCACCTGGCAAACTCCTCCATGTGATCCAGTGAGCTCACTCAAAGGGCCCACCAGGCAGATGCTGGCAGAGAGCAATCTGCTGCCTTCTCCAGCCCCAAACCCTATGAAACATCCCAAAGCCAAGCAGAAATGATATCTGTATTATGTGCCTCCTAGGATCTCCTCTTCTGGAGTAGAAATGGGAGCTGTGTGTGAATACAAAACATGCTAAGCCTTTCACAGATATGAAAAAAAGCTTCGTTCAAGAAACATGCTCAGAGTCACTCAGAGGAGGTGCTCCCAGGAAACCCCAGGCAGAGCAGCAGGAGACAGAGAGCCACTGAAGCGGGGAAGCCAGTGTTCCACTATGCACACCGTTGAGGATGGATATGGATAAAGGGGAGCAATATAAAGCACCCCAACCCAGGGAGAGAGGAGCTGCTTGGAAGGATAGGAAGAAGAAAAGGAAATTCAGTTCCTATGAACTCAAAAAAAATAAATAAATAAATAAAAAATGGAGACTATAATCTGGAGCTACAGGCTTGGGAAAGATGCAGGAGGTGAAGTAATGGCCCAGGCCCTGACCCTGGAAGGAGCCTGGTAAGCGGCAGCAAGGGTTGGGAGGCTCATTCCCAATGGACTGAACAGAGATGAGGCCAGGTGAAGGGTGAAGACACCGAGCACAGCTGGGCTCTGCCTCCATGGCAGACTCCATTGACCCCAACTTCCTACTCTCCAACTCCATAAGATTTCCTGTCTCAGACCCTTGTGGGTTCCAAAGCCCTATCATTGGGAAATTAACTCGTTTCTTCCTATCCATCAGAGAACTTGAGAGGCAGAGGTGACATACAGGACTAGCTCTGACACCAGGAGCTGGTTAGCTTCAAGTGTCATGTTCTCTTCCTTTTGATGTCCTCATTTATAAATAGGATATATCTGACAGTCCACACTGCCTCTCTTGTGGTAAAGGCACAAATGAGATGGTCTCATAAAAAACCTCTATCACAGAGCAGCAAGTTTCTGCACTATCAGCAAGCCTGGTCCCAGGAGTTTTCAGGGAGCCACCTCAAACTCCAAACCTCAAGAAAAACAAAGCTTCTCTTTGCCTCGGTTTCCCCATTCTGGACAGTGTAGAAACACTAGGCTCCCATACTGGGCTCCACAAAAAACTCAGGGAAAGTGTGTCCAGATCCTTGGAAGGAAAAGCAGCAAGGGGCAAGAATGGCTACATGCCATGCGTGTTCAGAGGGCACAGGCTTTGGGAGGGACATGTCCAAATCATCCATCAGCCCAGAGTGCCAGTGAGTATGGAGGATGAGCTGCCAAGGGGAGCTGTGCTCAGGACTAGCTACCGGTTGCTGCTTCTCCAGGGCAAAGAAAACTTGGCATCCTCGGGAGCAGCAAAAACGCTTAACTCTGCTGGGATCACATTAACAGTCAGTCACTTTCCCTTCCTCAAAGTCATTGCCAAAGCCAAGCAAACCATTCCGTTCACTATGCCCTTAGCAGCCTCAAGGTTAAAAGAGAGGCAGGTGGCTGTTCCTGCCCAGAGAGGCTTCCAGGACTGAACTTAAGAGTCCTCTCTAATGTCAGCCTTGTATCTGATCCCATAGCAGGACAGATGAAGGTCAGGCAGGGCCAGGGCCACTGGCCCAGGTGAATGTCCACAAGCCTGGGGCCAATCCAGCTGGCAACAGGGCAGCCTGGCAGTTAATCTGTAGCTCCCATGGGCCTGTGGCAGGCAGGGACCCAAGATGTCAATCCAGTCCTCACACACTCCTCTCTCCTGATCAAGGTAGGGGCTCCAGAGTACTCTTCCCAAGGAATGCTTATTTAAAAAAACAAAACAAAACAAAAACAAAAACAAAAAAAACTGAAATGGCCCTTGGGTTGCAAAAGTAGCTGAATATGATGTGTAGCCTCCAAAGAAAGCTGATGATACTAATGTCCCTTGGACCCTCTGTGTGATTTCAATCCTAAGGTCTTCCACTCCCTCCCCATGCCACCTTACCCTGATGGGGAACACTCACCAGATTTGGAATAAAGCACCAGCACATTATTTCGGGTCCTGAGAAGTTTCTTCAAGTCCTTAGGGTCAGAGATTCTCTCAATGAGTGAAGAGACCTTTGTGGAGGACAGCCAGGTTGGCAGGACCACCTGGAGACCAAATAGCCAAAGACTGTGAGTCCAGCTTCTGTCCCACCCTTGGTGCCTAAAGATGTGCCACCCAGAACACACTTTCCTTCTAGAAGATGAAGCTAAGCAACCTATCCCAAAGTACCACACCTACCTCTTCGCCTCCAGGGACACCTCTCGGCCTACTCCAGTCCCTACCTCACTCATCCCATTCTTTGGTGAGGCTGACTGGACTATGTGCATGCATAATACACTGCCATCCATCAATCAAGGACTCCCTGAGAGATTAATGTCTGTATTCTACATACTACACAAGGCCATGTAAGACAATCTGAAAAGTCCATCCCAGCTAGAAACACCAACACAGAGAACCCCAAGAAAACATCCTTTCTCACATCAAGGATGGAATGCATGGGTGAGAGGCTAAGCTTTTCTCACTCAGCCAAGTGATCACAGAGGCTTGGCCTATAGGAAACAAGCCACCCCGCCCCAACATCTCCCATGGGAACTAGAGGTGCCAGGTGACTCTGCCGGCATGCTAAAGATTGGGCTGAAAGCAGAGTGAGGTGGGATGAAGTAGGAAGAGGGAGAGGTTGCAAAGCAGATCCTGGCCCAACCAATGGGTGGGGCAGCTCACGGCCCATTTGGGAGAAGCAGGTCACTATATAGAAACTCCACTAGGTTGAAGATGGGAGGTCACCCTTAGAGGAAAAAAAGGGCATTAGGAGAAAGTCTACTCACTGAACTTTGAAACTGCCCATCTGACCAAGTTTCTAACCCCAGCATCTCCCTTCCCTCTTCTAGTCAGACTTATTCCCCAGACAAGATGTGAGAGAGCTTTTCACTGGGGAACTTGAGGAGAAAAGAAAAACAACCTAGAAAAGGTGACTTGGGGAACCTCCAGTGACATACTGTCCCCTCAATTCTCTATCCCTGGTAGGCAAGTTTCTGTCCATCCTCTGTGCAGAGTCACCAATCCATGTGCCAGTGCTTGTTCCTCTATTCAGATGAGCAAGGTTTGCCAGGTATCTGCCAGAGGCCAAAACAAGGCAGGGGTGTGGTGGAACTTAGGAACAAGAGAAAAAAAAGTGGAAGAAAACAAAAGTGTAACCATTATTTTCAGAGAAAGAGAATGGCATCGCATCTGTAAAATAAGAACAGAGACGTCAGAGAGAATCAGGAAAACTCCTTGAAGTAGAACTATCACAGAAATAACTGGATCTGGAAATGGCACTGAAAAAAACATCCCTAGAAGTTAAAAAGATCAAGAAATAAAAAGGGACTGGTGTGGTGGCTGAAACCTGTAAACCTAGCACTTGGGAGGCTGAGGCAGGACTGCCTCCAGGTCAGTCTGGGCTATGAGTAAATTCCAGACCAACTGATCTATGAGCCACAGAGTGATGAAACCTTGTCAAAACCTCAAAAAAAAAAAAAAAAAAAAAAAAAAAAAAAAAAAAAAGAGGGTGGGGGAACACATATCAAAGCAAATAAATTACCACAGAGTAAAGATATGAGTCTCCACTCGAGAGATTGGGCATCATTAATAAAAATTTAAAAAGACTCTTACCAAGATGCATCAACTGAAAACTTTTCAGAATACTGCTGACAAAGAGCAAATGCTTAAACAGAAGCACCACCTACAACAGACCAGAGGTTGGAATTGGCAAAAGACACTCATGGCACACCAAAAGACTATGGGGCACTGCCTTCACAGTTCTCAAGAGCAATACTACCAAGTGGGCTTTATGACCACCCACACTACCTGTCAATCATGAATACAGAGTTACACTAACCAAAGATAGCTCAGATGTGCAAAGTGTATGACCAACACACCCTTTCTCAGGAAGTCACAGGAACCTGTGCTCTTCCAAAAGCAAGAAATAAATGAAAAGTACTTGGCAGGGTACTGTAGTGGAGACCCGAGGACTTTCCATGATGGCGAGGAGCCAGCCAAGGACCCTGTCAACCATCCCAGATTGGAGCACAGACAGAGACAGACAGAGGCCATGGAGGAAAGCATGGATACGGGCACCTGGAGACTATGTGACAAGCTCTTCCATCTTGAGAGGAGTTTAATTCCTGCCAGAAACATGCAAACACAAGTAATCTGACCAAAGTCACACAGCTAATGAACAAATCAGGATCTGAATCCCAGTCTCTCATGTGCTTCACAGCAGCTCAGACCACTGCCTCTTTGTAGCTCAATGCCTTTTTTAAAAAAATGTATGCGTTAAGTGTTTTACCTACATGTGAAGTGTACCCATGAGTGCAGTGACCACTCATGGCCAGAAGACAGTGTTGGATCCCTTGGAACTATAGTTACAGAGGGTTGTTAGCTGCCATGTGGGTGCTGGGAAGTGAACCTAGGTCCTCTGCAAGAGCAGCCGGTGCTCTTACTTACTGAGTCATCTCTCCAGTCCCCAGTAGCCCAGTATCTTGAGTTCCGTTTAATGAACACTTTGCCACTCAAGAGCTGAGGTGCCCAGCAATAGCACTCAACCTTTTAGAGGGTTAGTGACTCATTTCCGCCATGGGGGTAATAATGCCTCCCTGGTGACACTGCTGTGATGGTGAGATGGGATAACTTATCGAACCTTCTTTATGAATCATAAAACACTCCAATAGTATCAATTACCATAATATAACTGCAGAGGGAAGAGAGAGACATGACCATATTCTAGTGATTCTTAATGTAATCTGCCACTGGAATCCAGGAGTAAAACTACCCAGGAGGAATCAGGAATTTTCTTTCCTTGCCAGAGCTGTGCACAATGCCTGAGTCCTGCTTTATGGTCTGCATCTTCAGAGTGCACCAGAACATTCCTTCAGTGTTGACTAGCACATGTCACCCCATTGCTCCAAGAGAGCTAATGCACTTCACACTAAAAGTCCATGGCTCAGTGCACATGGCAATGAGTGAGAAAACAGAACAATCTTTTGGGAAAACAGGGTGACTTGACGCTTTGTTTTCCATCTTCAGACAATCAGTCAAGAGAAACAACTGCCCTGGCCAGGGACTCTGACCTCCAGACCAGTCACCTGAGTCTGGCAGGTACCTGCCAGGCAGCAGGAGTGCTGCTGGCCTTAGCGATACAGCATCCATAGTAGAAACTATGGGAGCCTGAGTCTCCTGCGCATGCTGGCTTCCTCTGTATAAATCCAGCCAGTCTCTGAGGTCATCCAACCAAAAGCCATCTGAGATTAAACATGCCACCTTCCAACCAGCCACCAAAGCCTCTGGCCCAATGTTTGCTAACACAGTAGAGGGTTAAGCTCCTCTGGAAATACACTGAGCAAATTGACTTTGCGTGAAATCCATCACACAGGGAGAAGCTAAGGCTGGCATTGAGCCTGGATCATGGACTCCAGAGAGACCATCATATAAAGAGGGTCCAGGTTGGAGCTGATGGGGAAGGCAGGTGGGGCCCTGCTGGTCTCAACCTTGACAGTGGTTAGCAGGGGAGGCTCATCTTCCCAGAACCTCAGCCTGGGTAGCAGCCAGAAGCAGGGTGTGCTGGATAGCTTTAGTGTCAACTTGACACACCTCAATTGGGGAATTTCCTCCACTGGACTGGTCTGTGGCCATGTCTGTGAGGCATCTTCTTGATTGATGAGTGATGTGGGAGGGCCCAACCCACTGTGGGTGGTACCACCCCTGGGCGGGTGGGCCTGTGTTGCATAAGAAAGCAGGCTGAGCAGGGGCCAGGGAGCAAGTCAGTAAACAGGGATCCTCCATTGCCTGTGCTCCAGCTCCTGCCTCCAGGTTCCTGTCCTGAGTTCCTCCCTTGGACTCCCTGATGAAATGTGACCCAGGAGATATAAGCTGAATAAACCTTTTCCTCCCCAAGTTGGTAGTGGTTAGAGTGTTTTGTCACAGCAATGGAGAAACAAACTAGAACACAGGGGTAGAGGGACCGGCAAGATGATTAGCCAAGTAAGAGAAAAGGGTCCATCCAGTCATCTCCAAGAGTCAGATAACATACTCAATGACCTTCACAGTAAGTGAAGAGGGAAGAGAGGAAAGTAAAAATGATTTCAAAGATGTCTAGGTTGGGAGAATAGAAACATAGCCAATGATGGGAAACAGGCACCAGTGGTAGACAGACAGCTCTTTTCTTAGGCTGAGGAAGATGGCAATGGGCTGGGATTGCTTGGACCATAGACAGCAGAAGTGTGAGAAAATACTCATGAACAACATGTGTCCTCTAGACTGGAGGATGAGCCATGAGGTACCTGAAGTCTCCATAGACTAGGACCAGAGAAAGGGGACATGGAACAGCACAGACCAGGAGGAGAGATAGTGGTATAAGAGCATCTCAGGGAGGAGACAGAGGGAAAGGCCCAGCTGAGTGGTGAGAGGCTAGAGAAAAATCAAAAGGCTGCGACAGTCTCTGGGGACAGCTGGGAGCACTGGTGAGGAGGGTGGGAGGACTGGAAGCCAGAGCACTGAGCAGTCACACCCAGTGCAAGAGCTGGGTAACAACAGAAGCACCAAGCAGGTGCAGTAGGTTAGAAGGTCCCCACAGAAGACAGGGAGCCTCTGGGTATCTGAGGACACAGAAGACTCAGATTTGTTTGGATAGGCAGGCCTGAGAGCAAGACAGGAAACCTAATTAGAATGGTAAGCCCAGAGAGAGCACAGGGAGATGTGGCCACAAGCTAACACTTCTGAGGAGGGAAAGGTACAAGGTCTGTGTGGGCCCCACACTACCACCCACCGTGACCTCACCCTCTTCAGAACTGGCACGGTGGCCAACAGGGAGGCCCTCCTCCACAGGTTAAGCTCCTGGGACATTCCTCCAACCACTTAACATTCTATTTTCTCCTCCACTCCCTCTATTAACCTTTCCGGCACAGGTCTTTCTTTCTTTGAGATGCAGCTGCTGTGAGACTGGATCACCCAGCCCAGAGCCTTCCTCAGACTCCATAAGTCACAACCCACAAACCTGCCAGACAACAATAACTACAGCCACAATAGCAGTGTTAATGGTGCGCAGACTACCTGCTCCTCCGCTGTGCCC